GATTCAGGGCGCCGCCCTCCTTCTTAGAACCCATTGAGGGGGGCCTCGGCCYGGGAAGGGGAGAGTGGCCGAGTGGTCAAAAGCGACAGATTTAATCTGTTGAAGTTTTTCTACGTAGGTTCGAATCCTGCCTCTCCCACTTGTTTGTTGTGTAGCCATAGAGTTCACGCTAATCTAGCATACCTTGTCTAGATCACTTTCTACCTATAAATCTCATTCTCTTGTTTCTCTGAGCAAATAAAGGAGTAAATACGCTGCATAGATTGTGATGTAATTTCAACATGCTGCTTGTCTTTTCATTCACTAGATCCACTTGCTAGGACTGTAATTTTCATCTTGAATGAGTACCTTCCTTGGCCTTTGGGTCTGGCTCCTTTCTTTTGTAATTTCATACCATCTATGACATTGTTTCTTTAAAAAAAATATTGTTGCTTGGACATCTAATTTTTCCTATAAACTAACATTATATAATTTGTAATTTTTCAACTATTACCCGATATGCCTCAGCTTCTGTAATTTACCTTTTTTTTTCTTTTTTTTTGGATAGGAAACAAATTTCACTGCTTCTGTAATTTACATGCAGGAATTTGTTTGTGGCATTATCTTGGAAGTGAGAAAATGTGGTTTTCTCATTCCATTGTTTTTTTTTTTTTGTAATTAGTGTGTTTCTTTTGGCTGACTAATTAATTGTTATGATTAAACTTATAAGGGAGGTAGTTGGAGGAATCTGTTTCTTTTAACACGGTGTTATCTTCAAATTAATATTATTTCTTGACCGTACAGGGATTTGATGAGTACATGAATTTAGTTCTGGATGATGCTGAGGAAGTCAATATTAAGAAAAAGAGTAAAAAGACACTTGGTATGCCTTCTTCCCCCCTCCTTTGCTGTTGTCTGCCTCATCTCTACTTCAATAACAATATCTGAAATGCCTTTTTTTTCTCCTTCAGGGAGGATTCTCCTCAAAGGAGACAATATTACGTTAATGATGAACACGTAAGTGAAATTGAACTTGCGCTCTCTATTTCCCTTGCACCAGCTAACTTTCTTTTCAAAATTTCAGGGGAAAATGATGATCATCCAGCAAAACACATTATTTAGATAGAGTTGGCACTTCCATTGTATGGGACTATAGCTTTTTACTAGTTACGTTTGATTGAAGTTGTATCCTTCTACGTTTTAGGCCGTGGATGATACTTAACTACTTGATATTTGGATGTGAAGTGCCATATTATTGTTGGTAGGTATTATCCTTTTATGTGATATTCGTTTTAATTCATCGTCCTTCCTATAATTGAGTTGTTTGCACCAACAAATTCTTTCAAACTATGCAATTTGGTTTGTTGAATAGTAAACTATAACTATAAGTGGTGGTGTACTGGTGGAGCGTTGTTTGAGAACGGCTGGTTACTTCGAGAGGATATTTGTTTCCCTGAATTTGTTTTACTTCCACTGGGCCTCAATTGATTGTCTTCGTCCCGGAGAAAACAGCATCATCTTCCCAATCCCGTGTATGATTGACTACCAAGTTATGGATGATGGTGCGGCTAAATATTTATTTTTAGAGGATCTATTAAGAATCTCTTTAGTATATTTTGCACAACTTTGGTCATAGACTATTGCTTTGGGTATGTAGGCTTTAGGCTTAAAAATCAGCCCAAGCTCTTCAGCAGTACGAGTACTGAAGTTCAAACCATTGTCCAGGATAAAAAGCCTCATGAAAAAGGCCCATAGGTACTGTTTTGTGTGGGGTGCTAAATTATTCCCCTTTTGATAATATGAGCAATAAATCCAATGCACTGCTGTTTGTTCTGCTTTTATCGTTTCTTCATTATGTAGGAGCAGGTAAGAGAGTCACCCATTTGCAGCTTTTTTAGTGATAAAAGCATGTCTGAGCGCCAGGGTGTGGGAAAAGATTGGACTAACGAAGTGAAATAGAAATTTGGAGATAGCCCAAAGTGAGAGTGGGGGTGGCCGGTGGGTCACTTATGGGGTCAGGGAATCACACCCCAACCCTTGTCCTCAGCTAGCAACTCGAGTTGTAAGAAACAAGTGCGCTATCGCATTTGTTCTTTTATATTTATTGGTGACTGACTCATCCTCCACACATATTGATATCATATCTCTCCCTCTCTCCTCCTTGGTGCAATTCGCCACTCCACTCCATTCTTGTTTTTTTTTTAACCCCACCTTGTTTGGTGCTTTCTGTGCAACATTCCATAACCCCTGATATCCTTCTCTCTTATGATTGGAGAAATGCATGACTGTTTTAGAGTGGTTGACACAACATACAAACATCATTATTATTTTATATATCCGTCTCTTGTTATTAGAATTGGTTGATTAACTTTATTTTTGGACCTCCTAGCAGGCCATTGTTGATTGTATTATGTGGCCCTTGGTGATAGTAATTGCTCATGACAGACTGAATATATATATGATTCTGTAACCCGCCCGATTCTTCAGGTAGCCTCTCTGTCTCTGATGCTCTTTGCCCATGTGAGTTTGGGGTATACTTTCAACAGAATGGGGTCTCAAATAGTACACCAACAGAAAGAAAAAAGTAAAATGACCCCTTAACTTTTGGGTGACATACCTTTGTTTTGATGGTACAATACGAACTGAGGGATGGGTTGATTGTGATATTTCAGGAAGCACAGGACGCTCACAAAAATGTTCAATAGTGCATTCTATTCACACCTGGAGGATTCTGATGCTTTGTTTCAATCTTCATGTAGCCAGAAGGCTAAGGTTTGTGGTTGTTGCTTAGGTCGGAGAACCGCAAAGTGGTTTAATACAAATTTATTGAGTCAATAATTCAAGCTGAATTAGGCGATTACATTCGTCAGTAGAGAAATGTATGCTTGACATTTTTTAAGGCCACATATCCATAAAGACAGCGGATAACTTCACTCTGACCAAGATTTGAAGATGAAATTTTTTATGAAGTCGGGAACATGGTACTATCATGAATACATGAATAAAGGCATTTATATACAAAAAGGATTAGAGGAAAAAAAAAACTGAAACATGATGATCAAAACTGTAGCAGTAAAACTTAAGAATGGTACAACTATCATTGAACTTGTCCTTGAATAGGTAGAAGAGCAAACAGTAGCGAGGACGATAATATACAAATTCACTATTATGCATGGTCAAACTCAAACATATGATCCATTACCTTATCATCGGCAAAGGAATCAACCATCCGCCGCGTGAAAAGCCAAGACTCTGTTGAAAGTAACAAAAATTTTTGGGGTTAATTCAAACTGCACTCGAGACCTGTCGAGACTTGAGACAGAAAAAGGTGATCTTGAAGATTAAAGTTGTGCAAATGAGATTTGTATGTCATTGCCTTCTGAAACATGGAAAAAAAGTAACTGGGGTCGACACCTACATACAAAATGCTGATTATGATTTATGATCAGTGCACTTCCTTGGATGATTACTTTTGGTTGTTTTGATTGGATGTTATAGCTCCTACCGTTGAATGACATTGCTTCTTTCTTTCAAAATCTTCCCACTCTAGACTAATAATTAGGGAATGCCCATATGAAGTATGAGTATAAAAAAACGCTATATAGGCTAATGTAGCTCGACCCACCTAATTCTAATTCATCTCTAGGAGATAAGATCTTGTACTCTTGTTCACAACATCTGAGACGTCTCTACCTCTACCTCTACCTCTACCTCTACCTCTACCTCTACCAAACCTAGCTAATTACATACATTTTGTAGGCGTGAAAACTAGATCAACTTACAATAAAGAAAAAGACAAAACAACTGTATCTATGGGTTGGATTCCAAAACTGAAATCGTACAATTGGCATTAGAAGGACAAGTGATCAGCAAATCGCAACTGTGAAATGTGATAGAAGTTACAACTTAGAACATGGTAAATTATGGGTTTGTCCTTTTGATTGCCTATTAATAGAAGGACCCAAATCAGTTTCCTCTGTGTTTTGGGCAGAGCCACATGATCCATGTCCCACCTCATCAATTTTACAGACCCACATTCTAAATTAAAAGCTCTCCACTTTGTAATCAGAAATATTAACTTTAATTAGACGCATAATCGCTTCAGTTTTTTGAATTGGTAGGGAATTTCATTTCTTGCATTGCATATTACCATCTCTATCAGTAGTCCGAGGAAGTTCAAATTTCGTTTTTCTTTGTTCTCCGGAGGCATTTTTGGAGGACAAGACATGATCTCCAGTGCCCTCTGGTTTGATATATGCTGATTGAATGGTTCATAAATTTAAATGGAAGTGAGTGCTTCAAAAAGCAAATTTGTTTGCATTAAGATAAAGCATGACAACAAAATCTAATAATTGATAGGAAGACCTATTTTTTGCTCTACCAATTTGATATGTCACCCACCATCTTTTTTTTCAAAGATGGCTATAGCTTTTCCAATCACTTCATTATATTCTCTTCCGCCTTCAATTATGATAATGATTTTGGGTCATTTCAGATACGTCATCTAATTGGCAATCTCTTTTGGGATATACAATTATTAGCTTAAAAATTATCAGTATATCTATATTATTATTATTATATATTTTTTTTCTGGATGTGAAATGGTTAGTTGAGTTTGGAAGTCAGATTTTATTAGGAAAGGGAGGACATAGAAAGGTATTGAAACATAAATAAGAAAAGTTTAAAGTACACCTAAACCTAACTTAATAGCTAGAATCTTGCTCATGCACTAGAAGTCGTCTATTCTAGTTTCTATACTTTTAATTTTTATTTATTGAAGTCTATGTATTTTTTAAATGTCCACTTTAATCACTATAATTTAAAAAAAGTGACCATTTGATATATTTTTTTTTTTTTTATCTCATTTATTTGAATCAGAATTTTAGAATTTTAGTATAACACTTCAGTCAATAATTTTTCTGAAAAGTAGCCAAAATTTTGTATTAAAGATTTCTAGGATTTTTTTAATTGAAATATTATTAAAGGTTTCTACTTGTGTATAAAATTTGTGTTAAAATTTTAGAAAGAACACTAAAATAGTCACTTTTTAAAAGTATGTGGACCAAAATAGAATTTTAAATGTAGAATTACAATAAACAAAACTTGAAAGTATAAATATCAAAATGGATATTTTAAAAATATATGAACCAAAATAAATGAAGTAAGCAATATTTACACCCATGACCGAACAAATGGTAGAGTGTCTTATTTTTAATGAAGTATAAAAATTTATACTTAATTAAACATATTTGTATGTTAAAAATTATATAGAGTCAAACCGATGTGGGTGTATTAATAATTTGACACAAACAATGTTGTACATAATATATGACATTTAGTTGAATTTAGTAAAACTATTATTCTTTTCAGTTATTTTTGTAATTATAGAAAAAATCGTGGCACCGAGTGCATCCACAGTAATATCTCTATAAATTAATTAACAAGACTAATACCACTACTCAACACCTTAATCTTAAGTACCATAAATATCATTTTATATTGTTATTACTTATATGTTGTGGCTCAGTTCGGCATTATTCCACTGTGTTAATATTTATTTATTTATAATTTTTATTCATTAATGTGTTGACTTGTGAAACTTCTTTTGGAGGGAGCTTTTTTTTTATTTAAGGAAATTTGGAGAGAGTAGTTACATTCAAAGTAACTGCTCTATATACCAACATTTTAACTTAATTAATTAATTAAGCAGTGACACATTATATTCCAAACATTTTCCCACTTAATTTCCTTAAATGGTCCCCTATCCCACTTTTATGTTTAATGATCATGTATTATCGAATTGGTAATTAAAGAATTTGATTACAACCAATTATTTATCCACTTACCCCCACTAATCTGTTGTCTCAATTCCACTCAACTACCTTATCCACTTCCTTTTGATCTTCCATGTCCTGCCACAATTTGTTGTTTGAGGGTATTCATATTCTTCTCCCCCATCATCAAATAAACTATATAGAGAATAGGAAGAGAGAGAGAGAGAGAGAGAGAGAGAGAGAGAGAGAGAGAGAGAGAAAAGCAAGGAATAAGAGTATCCAACAAATCACAAATATATATAGTAATTAAAAAAGAAAGTAGAATATACCTCATCCTTTTTTTTTTTTAAGATTTCAATTAAACAATAAATGCCACCATCTCAATGGCTCTTCTGGATTCATCAATCTTAAATGAATTTTTTTTCTTTGACCGGATGCTCGTTTGAACCTTTGGAAGCCTTTGATATCATATTAATATTTATGGGTTCCATCTCAAAACCAATTGGTAATGAGAGGAGTTGAACATTTGTTAGGTCTCTTATATTTTCAACGTGAGATCCTTAACACGCCCCCTCAAGATCGTTGCTCTTTTGGTTCACCGATCTTGGCCATATCTCATTTTTTGGATTGGATGTTCACTTAAGTTTTTTGGACTGTGATAACATATCAATATTCATGTAGTTTTATCTCAAATCCAATTGACAACGAGGGGAGTAGCCTATATCTATTATGAACTTTGGTAAGTTTCTTCTTTTTCGATGKGATTCTTAACACATGAGCTAAATACTAAATAATTCTACAATTCTATGAATATATGTTAACTACTTACTATTTTCATTCCTGGTTTATTTTACTCCGTTAGAAGTTGTACAACTTGAGTTTGATTTCACACCCCTATCTTGTTTTAATCATCATTTTTATCATGCTAGAAATTTAGAATGGTGAGATCTATATGGGACATATATAAGATATTAGTCACATTACAGGAAATACTGGACTCCTCAACAATGAGAAGGAATCTTTTCTTCCTGATCACCATTAAATATATATGAGAACAAAGAAAAAAATGCAAAAGACAGAGACTTTTTTAAAATAATAATAAATTGTCCAATATTTAATAGTGAGGAGGACAATATTCCTCTTCATCGTTGAGTTGCTCGTATTTTCCGCACATCGTTGCTTTGATTTTCCCTTCATTGTCTCGAAGAATATGTGTTCGTTAGTAATTACATAATAATTATATTTCATCACTATCTAAACTAATCATCTATTCTTACACATACCTTTTGATATTATTTTCCCTCGGGTCATCAATTGATCATATATTATATTTACACAGAAATAATATAATTAATAGAGAGGGAAAGTGGTCAGGGAAATAGCCTGGAAAAAAAAAAGCAATCATACATGCAGCGAATACCAATGACCTCATTAGCAGCTAAAAATAAAAATAAAAATAAAAATAATAATAACAACAACAATAATAATTAACAATGGTTAATCTGTGGCAATCCCACTTGCAGAAAGTTAAGTAATAATTAAATAAAGGAAGGTTCGATTGATTTCGTACAGAAAAATTCTGGTGTGTTATTGTTTATCATGAGTACTTTGTTCCCAATAAGCGTGATTAATTAATACTAATGACTTTAAATACCTTATCTTCAAAGCTTAATTAACTGATTTGGCTACTCCTGATCTGGTGGCGGATATGAGAGGATCAGAAGTAGGGTCGTTTAATCTAACATCGTCTTCTCCAAATAGTTTTTACTGTATAGTTTCTCTGTTAGAACCCTAATTTTCCTTCACCCAAAGAAACCATCTTTGCACTTCAAAATGGTAACTTTGCTTTCAAAGCTTATCAACTTCTGCTGAAGCGGAGCTTCCCCTTTTGACTGAACAACAATGAATGCTACCCATCATAAAAGCTTTTTGTTAATAATTGAACCACCTTTAACAGCTGCATCCAAAACACAAAAAAAATTAAAAAAATATATTATTTTTATAATATAAACTTTGTTTTGTTATGGTTGGATCTATGCCATTTTTCTTTTTCATTATAAGAACACCAAGCATCATCCCATCACCCTTAATATCTATCTATAAAATAATAATAAAAAAAAAGAATCAAATTCATAAATTTTATGCTTACAAGATAGTATTGTACCGTCGGTTTCTTTATTTGTCCAATACATGAAGCTTCCAATTTCCTTTTGTTCCATCTATTTGCTTCTTCTGTTCTTTGTTTCTTCAATTTTCATTTTCATATGGAGCTTTATCTTCCTTTTATGTTTGCATGAAAGTGATGGAGGAGTTTTGTACCTATCAACTTTCATGTCAATAATGAAAATTTTGAGATATATATACAAAAATTAATTTAACTTTAAATTATGGCGTCATTCTAAAAAGAAAAGGCAATTAATTAATACGACTGAAATAAGTTAAAAGATTTCACACCAAACATGGCACTATAATAAAAAGGAGGAAGATTGAAACTTGGGGGGAAAGAGAACAAATTAAGTTTATCAAATCAAGAAACAATAAAATAAAGGCAAGAGTGGGATTTGGTTTGGATTTGTTTAAAAGGAGAAATATATTCTGTTGATTTAATAAATGGTAGATTAATAATAATCCAAGGAAGCAGTAGGATAAGATGGTGTTAGTGGGGGTAATATTAAATGATTTTAAGTTTGTATAAGATATTAATATAATGTAAAGTGAGTTTAGGTTATTGGATGGTATATATATTAAAGAGAAATGGAAGGAATATC